AAGAGATAATAAATAAATTGAATTTCTTTTAAGAGTTAACCGTAGGTCTGTTCTTTTTAGCTAAAGTTCTTGCATGGTTTGTCTTTCTTCCTTTTCTCTCCACGTTGAAGAAAAAGAGAAGAGCTGAACCATGCAAGAAATTCAGTTAAAAAGAACAGGCCTCGTGAGTTGTGTGCCATAGTCCGTTAGATTTAAAAATATAAACCAAACAGATACATAGTGTGAATGGTTGTAGTACTGAATGCATTCAATCATTGAAGTTTCTGTGAAGGCTTCTATAGTTCTCTAATGTTCCAGATTTTATAGAACAAAATATTGTTGTTAGAGAAATAAAATATTTTAATTTTAATTTAAAAAGGAAGAATTAATTAATTTAAGTTTAAAATTAGATTAAATTAAAAAACCAGAGACCGGAAATCAACTACTAGGGAGCCAGTCAGCAGAATCTGCAATGGATGAGTCACAGAATCCACAAATTATGAACAATAATCAGGCGACGGCGACATCTTCTGAAGAAGACATGAAGAAACAGCAGAATGTCGAACAAGTTATGGAAAATAATAGTTCTCAAGAATATTAACCGTGAGAAAGCTAAAAAATGTGATAGAAAGATGAGACATCAAGTGTGATTTGGTACATTAAGTTTTTTATATTAAGATTTTTTGTTAAGTGAGTTAAAGTTTTCAATATTTTATTTTATAAATTTAAGCTGCGAAATAAACTTTGTGTAATCATAAATTCGTAGTTTGGAAAGTTATATGTTCGCTATATTATAAAAATGAAATAGTGATGATTTCGTTGTAACCAAAATATTGTTTTGTTTAGAGGATGATCTTGTATAATTGAAATTATTCGATATTTGTGGAAATTTATTTTAGTTCATCAAATTATACAATAAAATTAAATTTGGGTTTAAGATTATAAATACTAAAAGTCAGTATTAACAACTTCACAAGGAGATAGTTGTAGCTATAACTTATAGCTTTAAAAATTTTTATTTTTTGTTTTGATAAAATTAATAAAATTCTTAATTTTTACTATAACTCTAAATTCACAGAATTTTTAGTCATAAAAATCCTCAATTTCCATCACAAAATTTAATTTTTTTACAACAAAATTTCATCATAAAGTTACAATTTAAAAGTTTCCAGTTAATGAAAGAGAGAGAGACTTAAATTTATTATAACTATATTCAATTCTAATCATAAGATTTTTAATTTTACCACAGTTTCATTAATTTTACCATATAAAATTATAGTTTTTTTGGGTTCCAGTTATATAAATATAAGATAAGATTTAGTATAAGATTTTTTATCGAACATCTATTTCTTGTTACACACATAAAATTTCTATTAACGATAAATATCTCTGTTCATTACGGGGCAGAGCGATACTTTCTTCCAAATTCGTTGCAAAAATGCGTCGAATGAACTTGATCAACATAAGTCCCAGCACTGATGAAGCGCCTGACATTTTTTCATGTACTTATTGTCGAAAAATTAATATTTTTTCTTTATATAGTCATCTCTATTGATAAACTCGGATGATAATATCAAAATGGTTGGTAATATCATCGTTCTTCACTTATCGTCGGATCCACTTGATAGTCACGAAAATTTTCCCAGGAGCAGTCCTCTTAATAATGTCTCGTCGGTGTCGAAGACATTTGGAGCTGATCAGAAATCGGAGCTGATTAGAAATCAGAGCTTTCATGTCATATGATTCATTGATTCATGATTGACCACCACTATCAGATTATCGATTGTTACTGACGAGAGTACCTTATCTCGCATGATGTACTTCGCAATTGTAATGTAGCAAGTTATTAAATCATTTCCACTTGTTTTCTCATGATCATTCATCATGTCGGCCAAGGTAATCCTTTTAACATATATCAAAAGACATGATAGTATTTCGCTCCAAGTTCGCAAGTTTGCACATTAATATAAATAATAATGCATAATTATATATATGTGTGTGTGTGTGTGTGTGTGTGTGTGTGTATGTATATATATATATATATATATATATATATATACAATAATAAATCTTACAGTTGTATGTGGTGAAAGTGGAGAGTTGTAGATACATTTATCTTGTTTTTTATTCATACATATCTTAGAAATATAAGTGATGTTATTTCCTCTGCTGATTATTCTTTTAATAATACAAAGAATATATATATATATATATATATATATATATATATATATATATGTATATAAAAACTTCCAATTGGAAACGATAAAAATGGAGAGTTATATACACTTATCTTGTTTTATTCTTAATAATTATATTTTTACTAATTAACATAATTACATTTAATAGTGTGATAATATTTTAGTTATCATTTTTGTAATAATCGTTAACAATATTCTGTTTCTTATTTCAGAGCGAAGACAGCAAGGATGATAATCTAAATAGACAAGGCTCATTCAGGAAGCTTGTACCAGGAAGCAATCATGGAGATTCTCCATTGAGCATGTCTGCGAAAATGATTGATAGACCAATTGTGTGGCAAATCAACAAACAACATGCTATTTTCTCACAGGAATACAACATTTTGTCTGAGTAGTAAGTTTAGTAATGTTATCAGATGTGTATGAAAAGATAGCTGATTTTTTATGATATTTTTTAGCAAGATGTGGTGTTCTCAAGATTTAAAGGGGATTTATGTGATACCATCTGCTTTGAATGCTTTATGTAAGTATTGCTAAAGACTATATAAGTTGTATTTAGTGTATCCGAAATTTGGCATGCAATTTTCTGTGATAACTTTAATCTGTGATATTAATGTTTCGAAACAGGAATTAGTATTATACCATTCTATA